AAAGAAAATATGTCTGTTACTACTAACAAAATTTATGATTATATTCTTGACAAATTACTTATTTATAAAGATCTTATTTCTCTCTACATTCTTTTTTAGATGTCTTATCAATTAATGAATATTTTTGTGTTTTTCTTATTTCCGCAATTATAGACATATAACATTCACGAGTAGGTCAAGCCTTCATATTTTGATGAGAAGTTAAAGAAAAAAAGAAAAAGAAAGAAAAATCATTGACCATTAGAATATCGACTTATATGAGGTCAATTGTTGATTTTAACCATATGTTTCCGGTCTGAACTAATCGCTCGTTATTACATTGCATAGATTTTCGCGTAATAATAAACACAAATAAAAACTATTGCTTCTGGTCATTCATTATCATGATTCAAATGTACATTGTTCATGTTGACGTTGGACAATAACATATATTCTTTTTCTTTATAAATCTAATACATTCATTCATAGCCTTGTTTTAGAAGTGTATGTACATCGATATACCATAAATTACATTATAGAAGATTTTATTTCATCCTATTCTCAATTAAAAGAGTAAAAATATCTATTGAAATAGTAGGAATTAAAGTTCGTCAAGAGATCGAGCCTTTCTTGTTAGTACAAGGCTTCTTAGAAAACACACCATGGTTTTTTTTTCTTCAGATTTATATCATCCGGATTAACTGCATTATGATGAACATTAAGAATCTTGTTCTCTCGACTATCCCTAGAGTACAATAACGAGATTTTTTCCATCAAAATATTCCACGGAATGTAACACATTTTTGTATATTTTCTACCCAAGGCCATACTGCAGTGTGAAAATTAAAAAGTTTATTTAGCTAGCTGTCGAGATTATTGACTTAGAAAATTGATCGAAAACTTTTAGAACTACAAGACAACATTCTTATAATTCATCAACTATTTTTCTCATTTTTCAAAATATGAGTTCTAAAATGACGTATTTTTTCAAATAAAATGTCAGAAAGCAAATAAAATATATTGGCATAGAATGAATTCTTGAAAACTACACTTTAACAAACTCAATGTTACCCTTATCAGAACGTGATAATAACAAAATTATCATATTTGGTGTCTGAAAATTTAGTACATTTAACCAACCTACTGCATCAACTAAAAGTAGTGATCTATTTCTTGTTTTTTATTTTGATATTAGAAGAAAAAGAAGAGAAAGAAAAATGTTCATTTTAGCACGGCTTTTCCTATTGACATAACGGATATTTGGTAAGAGTAGGTGTAGGTGACTTTAACAGATTATTTATTTTTCATGAGTTTCCGATAAAATCAATCCTTCAATAACGCACGATTAGCTTGATCTATCATTATCAGTCAACATTAGTTAGAAAACTATGGTTAAATAGTACTTTCAACCGTTTTAATGGATGAACTGATGCGAAGGCGTTTTGTGAGAGACTTATTGCTGTTTTTCTACATTTAGATAAAATGACTTAACTCTGTATTAGATGTCAAAGCAAAAATTTCTTGTAATTAAGGACATTTATTTCATGTAAAAGAACGATATCATTAACTTGTTCTCTAATTAGTTATTGCAATATACACTTGAGATTAACAAAAGTTCTATGTAACTCATGTTTCGTCAATCAAATTAAAAAACATTATTATTGATTTCTAATAGTGATATGTTCTCGAAGTAGCGTTTACTATACAACTCAACTATCCACCATACATTCTATGGTTCGAATAAGACAATAAAAATTGTTGGTACTCACAAATAACTCTTAATTCAATATCTTTACTAACTGAATGACCGTTAACCCCATTATGAGCAACACATTCATAATGACCACTTTGCGCGCGCGAAACATTGTGTAATACTAAAAATTGAGTGCCATTCGATAGTGCTAAATAAATAGAAAAATAACAGTTAAATTGTCATTTCTTTTCATTATTAAATTAATTAATCTAGAAATACACTACAATCCCACTTTCGCTAACTGTGTATAAGCGTATCTAATTATTTTGATAACGTATGTGTTGACTTCCAGTGTAGATTACGACTAGATGCTTCATAAGATGATTTTTCGCAGTAAAATCATAATAAGTTCTGGTCCAAGAGGAATGATCTGTCTCTTTTTAACCAGAATGTAGTACAAATCCTCATCTCTTCAGTGATTCATCTAGGTTCCATTTACTGGAGGAACACACGATCTCAAATGTTATTTTCTTCCCAACTCAATTGTTAATTCCGACATGGCAAACTGAAAAACCGATGACACGCCGTCAATTCAGCTCGTCCGCCAGATAAATCGCTACATCTGTCTACGATTTTAAGTGTTATAATGTTCACATTAATACACCGACTTTTTCACGACCGACAAGTCACATTCATGGCAACGAGTAAATATAAATGTACTATACATCGGAGATGACATTAAAAAATGAAGGGTCATCTATTTTACCATAAAATCTGCATTCAACGTACATCATAAGTATGCTAAATTTATGGAAACATATGTTGACAAAAAAGTAAATTTTGTCAACAAAGTCTGGTGCATATGAGTACTATATGCTATTTTATATATTCGTAGTAAAAAATAGTCTGATTTTGTATAGAGATGATGATAATATATCAGTTTCTTATAGTTTGTAACTTTCAGATGATGTTGACATTTCTATACCTACTTTTTTGTCAACATATGTTTCCATGAATATATTTTAGCATACTTATGATGTACGTTGAATGTAGATTTTATGATAAAATAGATGACCCTTCATTTTTTAATGTCATCTCAGTACATTTATGCTTAGTCGTTGTCATGAAATGTGACTTGTCGGTCGTGAAAAAGTCGGTGTATTAATGTAAACATTAACACTTAAAATCGTAGACAGAGGTAGCGACTTATCTGGCGGACGAGCTGGATTGACGGCGTGTCATCGGTTTTCCAGTTTGCCAATTCGGAATTAACAATTGAGTTGGAAAGAAAATATCATTTGAGATAGTATGTCCCAAGCAAAAACGACCCAATTTTTTGGGTTAAAAATTGGATCGTTTTTGCTTGGGTCGAGTCACTGGAGAGATGAGGATTTGTACTACATTCTGGTTAAAAAGAGACAGATCATTCCTCTTGGGCCAGAACTTATTATGATTTTACTGCGAAAAATCATCTTATGAAGTATCTAGTCAAATAGATTTAAACTTGTTGAAGAAGCAGTATGTAGTGAGAGTTACGACTACACAAACTTTGAAGTTCAAAGCCATCATATTTCGTGTGAGTCACTGGAATGCTCTTACTTTGCAAGTACAATAATTACTGTTTTAACAATTAGAGGATTGTCGAAGAACCGTTCAAGGTTAAATGGTATATTAATCTAATTCGCCTTCGTCATCGATAGTCATCTTTTTTTAGACGTTTCTCATTAGCCTCAAACAGTATCTCAGTATGCGAGATGTCTTTTGTCTAGAAGTATAGTATTTCATATTTCAGTCAGTTGACAAATGATTGACGTAAAGAAAGTGTAAAAGTACCGAAGGCAACTTTTCGTGGCTGCGTGTAGAGTTAAAGATCGTTTAAAGGGCTTTTTTCCTGTTATTATGCTGATATTCTGAAGCATTGAGCAACGAAAAGTCAAGATAGCAATTAAGCAACTTATCCAAGAATCTTGATTCTCAAACGTTGTTCTCACTTACCATATTTGTTTCCTCGTCGATACCAAGTTATGTACGGATGAGGGCGTCCTTTTGCATGACAAATTAAAGTTACATTAGCACCTTCGTTAACAATAATTGGTGATTTTGTAGAGAAGTTACTGAGAATTTGTGGACTTTCTAAAATGAAACCAAGAACAGAATTATAGAAGGATTAAAAGGACAAGTAACGCAATACGCGAGATATGTATCACACTAATAGAGGAAAAGTATTTGCTCATTAACCACACGTATTTTCAACCGAGTTAATAACATATTTAACATTTTTTCCACTTTTGATGTCGTTATTCTTCGGCACTATGATAGAAATGGCATGCTCTTATCATTTTCAGAACACGGGATGATCACAAGCTTTTTGAATAACTTTTGAACGAAGATAGATCCAGAATTGCGGTTTTCGCTATTCGAAATAGATACTGGGGAACATCTTTTCTTAAGCAAAGCAACCTTCAAAATCTGTTTTCCAATAAGATTTTCCAGGAGATGAATAAAACATTATTACGATTAATGGGCAATAATTTCAAAATAAAAAGCACGATAACAGCAGCGTTTTTTAACTTTATTAAAGTATTTTATTTAATTGTAAAATATTTTCGACGTTTCGAACTATACAAAGTTCATTTTCAAGAATAAAAACACGATGTACGTAACTTATGAAAACGAAAATGTTATTCATTTAGCGCAAGTAAGAAATAAACATAAGATCGCAATTTACCAGCTGCTTGCAGTTGTCCAGAGCTCAAGCTGTGAACAGTTAATTCATCTAACGGTTTGTCATCCCAATGATGGTAAGCAGTACGAATTCCCATTAGCCTTGCATTTTCTTACTTGCGCTAAATGAATAACATTTTCGTTTTCATAAGTTACGTACATCGTGTTTTTATTCTTGAAAATGAACTTTGTATAGTTCGAAACGTCGAAAATGTTTTACAATTAAATAAAATACTTTAATGAAGTTAAAAAACGCTGCTGTTATCATGCTTTTTATTATGAATAAAACAGTTGAATCTCGTAGCAATGTTTGTTGACCTGACACATATCTTTCTTCGCTGCACTTATTTGAGAAGAATTCAACAGGAATAAGATTTAACAGGATAAGAATTGGAATCACATTTCATCTCTTCGATTCTGTGAAAAAAAGTGATATTATCACTTACAATTCATAAATTTTTTGTGTGTCACTAAAAAGCTTCTCTTAATGCATTAAAGTTGCCTTTTGTTTAACGTTTCCACAACTCTTCGGATCACCACAAGTTAGACACAACGATGCTATCGATCGATATAAAGACATAAATGATGTCGCTATGTGCTGCCATAAAGTCGCCAGTAATAGTACAAACATCAACAAAAAAGCAATACCGGTACAACACAAGTTCGAATCTCTCGAACTTGAATTCATAGTCGGCGGAGTCAGTATGCTCAGTAGACATGAGTCTCTCCTGATTCCAAGAAGCTTCGCTACCTATGCTTTGATGAGATGGGTAATGAATGTATATATACATACCCATATACCAACACTAAGATTATACATATGAGTCAAAGTTAGAACCGGTTGAGTTTTATTTAATGGACCAGACCGGCCGATTAAGTGCCGGTTAAAAAACACCCCTAAACTGGTGAAAAACCGGCCGGTTTCTTAAACCTTTTGAATCGGTAGAAAATCGGCAACGCATTTCGCAAAAAAGTGGCTAGAAACTCACTTTTCTTGAAGCAAAGTCGAATAGAAACAGCTCACAGAAACCAATTCTTAAAATGTAGCACGAAAAGATTTTCCCGAGCTGAAAAACGACATTTCGTGAACAACTTTCATAGTAAATCAGTGATGTTTCCTTCGGTCTCAACCGGTAAAAAGTCAGTGTGAACCGGCCGGTCTTTAAAAAGTCAACTGAACCAGACCGGTAACCGGACGGTTGACCGGTTAGGGTGTCGGTTTACCGGTTCGGTTCCAACTCTGATATGAGCTGCTTTCACGCACTGTGGAACTTCATTGTATATAACTATAAACTCAGGACTGAACGAGTCTCGGGGTGCCGAGTCCGAGTCCATTTAGAGTTCGATACTTTTTTGAAACATTTTTATCTGTCGTTATTTATATTTGTTTTTTCCTATCCCGTACAGCACATCAGTCTTATTATAACAGAAAAAGTTACATAAGTAAACTTCTATTGCATACACTCTGAAAAAAAGTCGTAGATTAATAAACTACAATAGAAGAGTTTTTTAGTCCAAAAAAACTCTTTTATTGTAGTTTATTAATCTACGACTTTTTTTAGAGTGTATCTCGTACTGATATTGAAAACCGAAAAATTTTCATGTTCATTTATGTAAGAACATGAATCGATCGGACTCGAAACACAAAAGCTCAAGTTCGAGTCTTTCGAAAAATTTCTCAGTTCGGACTCACCCAGCCCTGTAAACTCATTGATTTCTCTCATAGACAATCTAAGCTTTTTTCCTTTCAATTTTGTGATTTACTAAGAATAAACTTATTAGCGTGCGCGATTTTAATCTTATTATCATTTGTATATCTGATTGCGTGGCAACTCTGTTGATATTTTGATAAAAATAAAAAGTTTTTTATATTAATGAGTACACTTGATTTTAATTGCAACAACCACAATAGATCCATTAGATCACAAATTATTTTTCTTTAAACTTAAATGACAATGTCACTTTAAATAAAATCAGTGGTTTGACTTAATAAATTAAGTTTCATAATATGAACGAATCTCTAATGTAAATTCTGTCATATTTGAGAGTGATTTTGATCGATTAGTTATTTATTTGAAGGATAGAAGACAAGGAGGAACAGCTGTCTCTTTTTCAAGAAATGACCATTTGCTGCAGAATCGAAGAAAGAAATTAAATCATCGTTAACACGTATCATCTCGACTGTCTTCTTAACCTTACATCTAATGTATATGAAAAGGAATTAAAACATTCAACTTGAGTAAACAATAAGAGAGACATGCAAACTTTTTGCGATTACTGTGAATTGCACCTTTCTATGATAGACGTATTTCTTATTGTCATTATATATAGTTCAATTTTCCTTCCATTAGACAGGATCTTAATCAGTGCAATAAAAAATATATAAAAAGCTCAAAAACTACTATAGAAATACACTGTAAAACATCAAACAGTTTGTAGAAAATGGAAATTCAACTATATACATGTAAAGTGTTTTAGAAATGTCTGATAGAGTTATACACGTTTCAGTTTTGAATTATAGTTAAATTCTTTCATTATAATGCATTATTTTAATAATATTAATTAGTTACTTTGGACTCGAATTTCGTTAGGATTCTGCAGGACTTATTCGAATCTGCTTAAAAGTTAAAAAAAAATCCTGGTAAGATTTCTTAAGATCCTATTAAGAAATGTGTAAGTGTTTTACTATGTGGCAGTTCTACGCGTACCAGCCAAAAAACGTAAGTCTGTTACGTTTTGTGAAAGTCATAGCTCTTCAGCCGAGCAACGTACACAGCTGAAGAACGCCTTATTTTGTAACTTAAAGATTTTTCTTTCAAATGGTAATCAAGCAAAGTCTAGCCCTACCCTAAGCACCTACTCCTAATTCTCGCCAATAAAGCCATTTTGTACGAAAGTGGCATATAGCAAAAACATTATATTACTTAAACTAATCGATTGGTAGACTGTACTTAATTGCCATTTGAAAGAAAAATCTTTAAGCTACAAAATAAGACGTTCCCCAACCCTGTACGTTGCTCAGCTAAAGAACTATCTTTTTAATGACATTTTAATGAGAGTCCGGGTACTTTCATTAATAAAAAATGCTTTAATGAAAGTTTTTTTAATGAACGTCATCGAATCCATGAAAAGATAGAAAATAGTCTAAGAAAATATAAAGTCAAGTGACTTCTATTAATGAAGAAAGTTTCGACAATGGCTGTGAGTAGAGAAAACATACTCTTGAAATGCTTTACAGCTAGCGATGTGTAGGATAGCTGTTTGTTGTGTCTTGATTCTATCCAAATCTGCAGAGTAGAGTAGGGTGAGGGCGTCCTGCACATCTCTATTCATCACAATTTCGAAGTGTTTTTAAGGAAATATTTAATATGTAACTCTCGGCTAATATTGGACTTTACAAAAAATAATCCTTTAATTTCTATGCCTAAGAAGTACTGAAACACTATTATCTATAACATTATAGTGAACTTTAGTGTATCACTTATTTAATGATTGAATTCTTTCACCTAGTAGACTAAACTGTCTATGGTTCAATACCATTTATCTCTTAGTATATAACTTGGCTTGGAGGTGTTGAAAAGTGTTTGTTATATGGTGATGATATGTATAACCCATTCGCGTACACGACTATAGCATTAGTTGATTATAATAAGAGCGTCTTTTCTTAACATCACGAAAATGTCAAATATAAAAAGATTTGTTAATTTAGCTAAATCAATCCACACCCTATAAATGTTTGTTCGTTCATGTATATAGCAGACATATTTTTTATAAACAATAAATATTGGTCAAGAGAAAAATCCTACTATATTTGCCAGATAGATATATTCTAAGTAGTTATGTGGCGGATATACACAAACTGCTCTTCATCTTTTGGAACACGCGTCTGGTATTGTATACATAAACAATTGCTGACAATAAAATTGAATCTTTCTCTCTCTCTCTCTCTTTGCGCGTAAATGAACCATGATTTAATCTGTATATAATAAACTGACAGTTACACTAACCACATTGATGAGAAAGAGAATTTAAATAAAAAGAAAAAAATAATAATTTTCGTTTTGTTTTGTGCATAATGTGCAATATGTTGTAAAATGTCAGTCTATACACAATAGATATTGTTTTATTGCATAAATGATCCCTGCTCTATTATATTATGTCAAAGAGAGTGAGAGAGAGGAAGAGAGAAAGAAAGAAAAATGTAGAAACTACAATGTATGTATATCATCCGGAACATTGGTTAATTCATTCAAAAGAGACTAATATGGGTATTAACATACGTTAATTCATGAAAACATCACTTAAACGTGCACGTGCATTCGTTTAAACATGATATTGTGTGACTTGAATTTTGATAATAGTTCAATAATACCGACATGCACACATATTTAATTTATACATTTAAAAAGATTTCATCTAGTTTGTTATATTGTTTTTTCTGAAAAAGTTTGAGGAAAAGTAAAGAATTGACTGATACGGCAAAAGATGGAATTGAGGCGGATATCTCTGCAGAATTCTGCAAGGAACCTTTTTGTCATCCGTGACAGATAAAGAGGAAAAATGTGTGCAATAACGAGAATTCTAAGTTGTCATACTACAATTTAAAATCTGCTGTAGGCAGCAAGTTACGTTATATGTAACAAAATTTAACGATTTTTAATTTTATTTTTATATATTTTACTTCATATCATCACTGAAGAAGATCTCGATAAAAGATGTCGAAACGTTTGTTTTTAAATAAATTTACGGAATTAAAGTAACTACTTGAAACTCTAATAATCTATCTATTTCGTATCAGCCAATTCTAACTTTCAACTCCCTCATGGTTTTCATCTATCTCATTATCTCATTATCTCTATTACTTAGAATTAATACTGTTGACATTATCCTGATATCAGTAGAATTATAGTATGTTCTGTTTGCAAAATATCGTACACCTGTTTTTGATCATCAGTGAAAATTAATATTAAAAATCTGTTCTAATGACTCATTTCAGCTTACTTCAAACACAATGTTCATTTACCTTTGACTTGTAAATGTATACTGGCTTTTTTTGTTGGACTTGTATTAACTTCACACGTATAATATCCTTCATCATTAATGTTTACATCATTGATAATAAGTTGATATTCGTTTTCGGATCGATAAACGGATAAACGTTTATCAGATGATAATACATCAGTATTGAGTGCAACAACATCACCTCTATCGTTACGTATCCATATTAACTGTAAAGAAAAGAGATAAAATGAAAAACAATAACTAACTGACACTTGATATGATCACTTTATATAGATACCTGATGAGCAGCATTTATTTCTTGAAACATACACTGTAACAGTGCTCGTTGACCACTGATCACTGTCACATCTTGTAAAACTGGAATGATAATAACAACACTACTGTCAGCTAAAATAAAATATGAACACAATTAAGATACAATATAAACACGCAAACAATTGTTATCTGGGCTTTGAAATGATTCGCTTAATTTAGATGCTAATCAGTAATCGTGACCTTTAGAAAAGATGAGACTTTATAGATTCAGAATGTTTGATTTCAGAGTTTTAGGCATGCTCTGTAGCAATCCATATCATATTATTTAAATCGAATCGGATTTATCTAAAATCTATTACCATCTGATAGATGTGAAAGTTATCTTTAAGATCTGATTTCGTCAAAAAGACTTTCTGACACTTCTGATTAAAGAAAACCTTTATCATTTCATGACATTGGGCTTTTTCTGCTATTTTTACTCAAAGAAATCCTCAAATATACCCTCTACATTAATAAAAAATAGGCTTTTATAGGTAATTTGTGATGATAATTATGAATCTGTAACCAGTTGCAGTCCATATGCTTTCAGTAAATCGACGTTTGATACTCAAAATCACTTTTCATAAACTAGTTTTTGTCAGTGTTTGTTTTGGAGGGAATATCAAATTATTATCAAGAACGGACAAATGCATACCATATTAAGCTTTCCATCTCACCTAGCAATTAAATAATCCACATTATTTTCAAGTTAAAAACGGTATGACTTTGCAAAAACATTTGTCCGCTACGGATGATAATTTGATGTTCCCTACAAAATAAACACTGACAAAAACTAGTTTATGAAAAGTGATTTTTTCGACCCATGTAGAAATTGTAAAAGTTGTTTTGCTTGATCACGCAAAAAAGAAATGCAAAAACTTCAGTGGCGTTACGCCTTTTATGTTTTTGCATTCTTTTTTGCGTTATTCACTTGATTCACGCAAAAATAGTTTTGGTTTTGGCGACACTGGGAGTATCAAACGTCAATTTACTGAAAGCATATGGACTGCAACTAGTTTCAGATTCATAATTACCATCACAAATTACCTACAGAAGCCTTTTTTTCATGTTGAAAAGGTTTTCCTCGCGCATTCCTTAGTCATCGTTGCGTTGAAAGTTGGTAAGCTGCCAATAAACACGAGTTTTCTCAGATCATCATTACCGACCGTATATGCGTTTATCTCAATGACTCCCTATCGAATGACATCTTAATTACACAAAGTCGACCTCTAATTCCTCATTTTCTATTACGTCATATCAGCTTCTCTAAGGCATTGAAAAGTTATTGTTCAACTAGCTGTTCTATTATGTTCCAAATTAAATTCCAAGTAATATTCTTCATTCTCTTTACACTCCCTAATTTTCTTAGCGTATCCTCGGGACTAAAACTGTCGTTTTCTATTTTGTAATTTTTTCCTCTTTTGCGTACATACACACGCTGTTATCAAATTAGCATTATATCTTGTAATAAAAATGACTCTATATATGTATATATAGTCTAACTATTAAGCGACTTCTTTCTAACCTTCAATTTTCTCCTTTACGAACGATTGATTTTCATTCTTTCACTCTCTTATTCACTAACGGATTATCGCTCTTCTTCTTTTGTCTTTAAATAAAATAATGGAGCTGTCTGTTGCTGAATATATATATATATATATATATACACAAAGCTCATCATAAATACAGTAGACAACTATTTAGAGAAAATCTGCACTGCTTTATTCAAAGAGAAAGAGAGGCGTAATATTGCGTAGAGACGATAATTATGGTGATCAACACTGATGATAATGACACGATTCCCAAATCGAATTAAAAAAAAAATGAGCAGTGTATGTCTCTCTTTCTCTCGCTCTTTCTCATCTATTATTACAATAAAAATGTACAGTCTAATTAATCAAAATCATATTGACCATAGCAAATCAATGTTTTCTTAAAGTGATTTCACACTTTTAAGATAATCACACAAAAAAATTTTTTAAAGTTACTTGTCATTGTTGAAATCTATGTTGCTTCGAAGAAAAAAAAATGATTAGATTAAATGTCAACGTGAAAGAAAAATCCACGTCCATATCTGACTGATAACTAAAGAAAATGTTTAAAAATTTTTTATATAGTGACAGGTGAACAAATGCCAGCTTATTTTGTATACATTTTTGATTTTTTTTAAGAAAAAAAAGTTTTTGGATTTGAACAAAGATTGATTAGGCTTTTATTTACATATTCTAGGTTATAGAGATGGTCCTATTACTGAATAATTCGGTAATCCTACTAGAGAAAATTCGAAATGTTTTTCATTCCATAAAAAACCGAAAAACTGTACAAAATAAGCGTATTTTTTTTAAACCTTTTTTCATCACAACATCTCTATACTTCGACATTTCTTTCTCTTATACTTGACTACATTCATGTTTTATTCCTGCTAATTCATAAATGTTCAAACAGTTTCACTTGGATTCACACACAGTTTTTTTTTTAGTCGTTCATACATATTTTGCTCGCTTCTAACTGTATTTTCTAGACTAGTAACGAGTAGTAAGTACATCAATTTCTAAAGTTAATTTTGAAATGGTTGCAACTGAAAACTTATCAACATTTGTCAAGGTTTCAAGTAAAGAATCGTTTTTTTATAATCATATAACAAATGATTTTAAGTTTTGTATCGATCTGTCTCATTGTGTGTGTGTGTGAAACTTTTTCTCCTAATTATTAATTGTAAAAAAAGTTCTCTTTTTTTGACAATATGGATTATTCCATATGGAGTTACACAAAGAATTTCGTCAACTATAAGAATATTAATTCTTTTCTATAATTAGTTTCATCTGATGAACATCTTTTCTTCCATCGATGGTATATTAATCTATGTATCGCATCTATGGTACATACTGTTCACACTCCTGATGTTGTTATTTATGACGAAAGCTTGAAATTAATGTAAAACATGTATAGTAATACATTTGGATTTATAATCGGATTAAATCAATGAGCATCCGGTTAGCATCCGTTTATGTAATGTTATTGTATTCAAGGTAAACATATGGGAGAGGTCACGACAAAGTAAACATACATTATTGTCGTTCAATATTTATAACTGTCGTTCATAAATATTATCAGTAAGTCATAGTGATGATAACTGTACACAATATATTTCTTATGCAATCAATATCCTCCAGCAACATTTCATTGCAATATCAAATAAACTCACTCTCTTTCTAACAAGTGTTCTTTCAATTAAGAGAATAAGAGAAAATAGATATATACTGACAGACATAAGTGCCCTTGTCTCAGAGATAAATGTTACTTTTATTTGACTAGTAATTGTACACAAGTCAATAACTAAAAAATATATTTTTTAATCTCCTATTAGTACATTTCTCCAAAACATACTTAATGCCTATTTGATAATATGAGCAATTTGTTCTTCAAATGATTTTTAATTGTATAGTTCGTTTTTATACCATTTGGTACACGCGTTTTTACCTCACCATACAGTTGGCTTCTCTTTCTTACATATATTCTTGATTTAAACCAGCTGAATATAAATTATAGATATTCTTCTATATAGATGTAGATGTATAAAATGATGTAATCACAGATTTATTGTACATGTATATCAGAAGCAAGAATATAAGGATTTATGACGATCTCTATGTCAGTTTTATTTCCTATATGTATTATGATATATTCGATAAAGAGCTTAAAATTTTTATTTGTTACTCAACAACTATATTTTTTAGAAGTTATAACTTAAAGTTGACTCATCGGTTATCATCATAAAAAAAGATTAGTGATGAATTAACCTGTTTGTATCTAAATTTTTCTGAGAGTTAAAGAATATTTAATATAGATTTCATCAAATACGTTGGATCTAATGATAGACTCTTCACGTGCAAGTGCACTTTTCACATGAAAATAAAATATGTACTAAAACACAAATGATTCAATTTCTTTAGTCATTTTTCTAAAAGAGAGATTATAATCATAGGATAGGATAGTGATACGCGCTTTAGATAGTGTCGGATCAAAATCATTTATAGAGTCTATTGTTGAGTAACTGTAGATCTCCAAAGTAATGATCATTTAAACAATTATTGGATACAAACGGGTTAAGAATCAGATTATAATTGCTTTTACCGTAAAATATTGAAAAAGAATATTAAAAAGAGTCAAAAAGTCACTCATATTCTCGTTCAAGGCATGCAAAAAGAGAGAAAAAAATAAAAGTTTCTTCTAACTAAGGATCTATAAAAGAATTTAAATCTATGTCGAACAGTGTGTAATAATAGATCCGATGATCTTTTGAATAAATATGAAGAACACACTTTTATTCAATGAAATAAATGATAAATTTTAAAAAATATAACTTGATCAGTAGCTAATTCAGTATTTGATGTGTAAGAGATGTTCGTTATTTATTCCATCATTATATCTTAATTTTTGAAAAACTTTAGTGTATCAAATATGGTGAGAATGATCGAATTAGTACGACTATATATTATTGAATAACTTTTGTCTCATTCCTATCTCAATAATTGGTATAGGTTCATTCATTTTCGGACAAAATACTTTTTATTTATTTTTATGGATGAATTAACTATCTATTGTATCTCACTTTTATTTTATTGTTTTAGTAGTTCAAAGAGAAATAAGATCGTACGAACAATATCATATCAAATTCTCAAGATGAACTTTTTACTAAAATTAATACTTACATTGTGCAATTTGAATTTGTTGTAAAATGTTAAAAATAATAAGTATCATCTTATGGTATGTGTAAAGTGTTTTATTAAAAAAATAAATGTGCATGAGTGGAGTCAATGTTACTTGAACAATAATTAAACGATTCTTTCTGCTGTTGTTGTTAATTTATAATTTCATTTAAGAGTGAAGTCCACTTTTACAGTTGAAGATCAATTGAACATACACATACAATAACTATCGCATGCTGATAATAGAATAGATCGACCGCACTACTACTTAAACAATTGTCAAGAAAAAGAAGAAGAGAACAAGAAGAGGGAAAAAAAAAAAGAAAATTATTGAACATTCAGAATATGAAAAAGAATAAGATTGCGGATCTATGATTTTAGATGAAGAGAAAAATAAATCCATCTTTTTCTCTCTCTCTCTCCGCTTTTTTCGTTCTTCCTGTTCTATACTAGTTTTTTGTACAGTTTTCTCTCCAAGTGACATCAAAATGAAAAATCTAATTGTTAGTAAATTGTCAACTATGTCAGTTTTTAGAACATAAAATCAAGAAGTAGAACGCGAGATAATAAATTTTTAGTACCTAGTAGATAAGATATCTTTTCAAAATTTGAAGACGTATAATATGCGGTCTACATTCACCATTGAGAACACACTAATTTAAATGTTTATGTTATGTTACTGTATTCGATTCCAAAACAGAAAGAATGAGTCAATGAAAATTTTCTAGGTTAAATATTCTTCTAACCTAAATAAATGAAGAATGTGGAGTTTTGAAAAGTTAATCGATCTAATAATTTTAGAAAATATCAGATTAATAAATAAAAAAATTAACTTTACTGAATATCTCTCACATCGTTCCTCCCGTCTTTCAAATTCGAAACGAAAATAATCCAACCAATTAGATACCTACTAAATTTTAGCGTCAATTTTTAAGAAGATTAAAGCGAGAATTTATTATAAAAATATATGCATTTATATTTTCAACTACTAAATCGCGCATCTAAAGAAAAGAAGTTTTTTTTTTTTAGACAATCATCGTTCACAACAAAAAAAAAAAAAAAAAAGAATTATTAAACAGTGCGTAAAATTTAACCAGTTAAACGTTCAATCATCAAAATCACCATCCTTGTTCGTTTGCTGGTCGATTTGATCTTTATTTGTTCGAACTATATAAGAAAAAAAAACAAAAGAATAAAAGACATACGAATGATAATAATATTTGTCATATCATAATTGAAATACATTTCACGTACCATATATTGGAAAATCTAATTCATTATATTTTAATCCAATTACGTTCGTTACTTCCTCTAATGTTTGACAAAAAATTGTTTTCTCTTTTAATATTGTATAAGAAAATTTTGCAAACCACCAATAGGATACCTAACATACTCATTGATAAATATCAGAAATATATGAAGGAAAAAAGAAAAAAAAAAAACACATCAGAAATAAAGAACTTACTTTCATTTTAATTGTTGGTCGAAAAATGAATAAATTTTTTAAATTTCGAAAATATCTTAAAAAAATAAGCGTAAAATGTAGAATTTTATATCCATTATTTTCGTTCGGTTGTTGTTTTTTTTACCGTTCATGACAAACTTGAACTAAATTTTTAAATACTTGTATGAACATATTATTTGGTTCGTTTTCAGGATGAAAATAAACAATATAATATGTTTTTTCCGTTATAACATCAAAATTTTTGATTAGAAACAATAGAAGCTAGAAAAAATAATTTTTATCTCAATAATATTCATGAGATATAGATAAAAAAAATGAAATTATACTTCTTCTGAGTGTACACCATCTGTATCAATTGGAAAATTACAAGGTTCAATTCCGATTACTTTTATACCATTATGATCAATACCAATATTTGTTAAAAAGTCGTATTTCGATATATGTGTCAAATTAATTCGTCTGGCCTTTGCTAGCAAACGTTCATACCTGTTCAAATATTATAGACGTATCCATAATATATTATTAGAGATTAAATAAATAATAACTTTACCCTTGTAATGAATTTGGTGGTTCTTTATTATTTAAAACTTGTCTTTTTCTTGTTGAATCAATATCGTCTTCCATTGGTACGTGAAATTTTATGCTAATCGCTTCGCTTGGTTTTTGTCCAAGTATAACATTTTCATTATTTTGAATATTTTCGTTCACTTCCACGTTCTCAGTCTCATCATTCTGATCTGATTCTGATTTTTTTTTTTAAAAAGTATCTTAAAATTTTCACTATTAAAAAGAAGTTTAAAATTTACCTTTTCGATTTGATTGAAGATTTCCTCCGATACGAATTTGACGATCTAGATGCACAATTCCTCCATATTCATCACATTCAACAATAGGAATAAACGGTGATGTTCGAGACGCTTCATCCGTTGTTCGTGGAAAATATAATGGCATTAAATGATTATAGGTAGCCTGAAATTATGAAGAAGATCAAATACATCGATTAATTATATTCTAAAATTTAATATATTTTACCATTTCTTGTTCATTTCCACCAATAATTAATCGTTCAAAATCTTCATGATGTTTATCGAGATATCGTCTAATTGTTCCTGATCATAATGAGAAATGATCGAAAAAATTAATAAAAATATAATTTTAAAGTAACAAAAAAAGTAACTACATACTTAGAGCAACATGAGTACCCTCTAACAAGGGAAATCCCGTTGACGGATTATGAATTGGAGGAATGACAACTGTTTTAAATTTTTCCACTCTGTATTAGAAATAGATGTTTATGTATTGTATCAGACTAAATCTATACGAGTCAATTAAACTCACGAACATATTTGAAGACAATTTTTGTAAGCAAGATGTAATGTATCTACACATGAAGATTGATATTTTGGATTGTATCTAGGTCCAACTGCGTGAATAACATACGATGCTAATAATTCATAACCTTTCGTTAATCGAGCTTCACCCGCTCTTATACCTTAAATTATTGAAAAACTAATAACATTAGATGAGTAAAGAATATAGACAAATACATACGTTTAATTTTTTTTGTAAATTCTTGACGTAACTCTATGCCGGCTTTATTAACAATTTTTGATGATAATTCATGTTGAGAGTGCAGTTGTTCGCCTGCTGGATTTACTATTACAGTTACTTTCAATTTGGTGATATCACCACACCTACAGTAATAGAAAAGGAAATAGAAAAAGTGCGGGTTTATATAATTAATAATGATCGATCGTTTGAGTAGTCTATCTGATGTTGCTCTTTCATCATCAAATATAAATCCATTCACAACTGAAACGAGTTTTAAATCCGACAGTGAACTTAGAATTTCATCCACGCATACAAATTCAATAACCGAGCCAACATCAGATCCGATAATAATAAGAACGCCTGTCAATGAAAACGTTCGATCCGAAGTAAAACAATATGACGTTGGATCACTGAATATTGTTAATAATCGTTCAAAATCAACAGAAAAACAGTTATTAGAAAAAAAATCATCAAGTCAAAAGTCATTAACAATCGATTTTGGTGTTAGTAGCAAAAAATATGAAGAAATAAAACAAGAATCACAGGAGAAAAAGTACGAAGGTGCTTCTCTTCAAGATAATGATCAAATGGGTTTGGCCACATATTTTCTTGAACAAGCGAAAAAAGGACGAATCAGTCTGATTAGTTTAGTGCAAGATTTACCGGATTATGCTCCGGATATACCAAAAATTACATATGATGAAAATGGACGGTATGGATCGTATTTTCGCAAAAAAAAAGCAGACTAATACATTAAAGCCTTATTTTAGATATGTACGTTTAAGAGAGGAAAATGCCATTACGGGAAACAAAAAATTCTATTCAGGATCAAACATATCTGGTATTCGGCAATCCAATAATAATGCTGAGGAACAGGTAAAAACAACCAATATTGTACCAGATTAATGAACAAATCAACAAGTGTCAATCAAAACTAAATATTCATTATAGGCAATTAACGACGATATAATCAATAATCCATCAGCAGAACGATCTATTCTGAATCGCTCAAAGTTTCTAGATTTAGTTAAGAAACGAAGTTCAGGTATAAACTGGAACACTGCAGGCCAAGTCTATCCTAATCTAACTCAACCTAACCTATAGGTTTAGGTTTAAAAAATATTTGCAGATTAGGGTACAATACTAATAACCTATTTTTATTCTAAACGAAAAACCAATTTTAAGCTTTACTAAAATACTCAGGAACAATACAACATGATATTAGCTCAAAATTACTGACCAGTGGTTAATAAATTGAATCAGTTATTTAAGTCAGTCATTTTGAGTCAAAGCTCATGGTATTGGTTATTCTACATTTTCTTTTTAACTAACCCAGGTAGATAATCTTTTCTCGAGAATAAAAGATTTTTTTATCTCAATTGCTAAAATCTATTTTTACAATCGAGCACAGCTATCTCATATCATATGCAATTATAGATTTTATAGTATAATCGGCAGAGAATATTCATGAAATTCATTATCACATCCATTATTCTCCGGTTTATTTGCTAATCTCTGAAGTTCAGATGTTTGTCTAGGAAAATATTGCAAGTTATATTATGTTAACATAGATTGGGTTAGGTTTAGGTTGTGAAAAACTTTTTATAGGTTAGGTTATAGGTTGGCATAAAGTTGTAACCTGCAGAGTTTTAGTATAAGAATGCGAATCACCTGTTAGATGAAATAGAACACTTTTGCAAAGTGTCGTGTTATAATTAAGAATACTTGCCAGATGAAAAACAACAGTCCTTATTATCATCTTACCATTCACTGGAAAAGTTATCAACAACAAGAGTAGTAGATGATACTGTAAAAAAATCAGAAAGAGTTGATGGTATCCGACAAGAAAATGTATCAACTGATTCAAGACAATCTGCAGCAAAATTCAAATATTCCATGTCACAGCAAGAACGTGGTGAACGAATTGCTGATGAACTTGGTCTAAACTTTTCCGATGTTCAATATCAATATGAATTAGCATTGCGTAATCGTATCGAAATACCACCATTGATTATGAGATGTTTAATTACAGATGCAATCGGTATACTCCACGTAATGAAGAAAGAAGTTAGTAAAGATTTGGGTACTGATCATACCAAAGTTGAACGAGTTAATATTAGATTACAAGAATTACAAACTTATTTGAAAATATACGATAAACATTGTTAATCGTATTTATATGAAACTGTGCATACCAGAGTGAAATAAGACTGTTTATAGTTTGTGAACATTGATAAATATTATTATCATTATGACTTGAAAGATTATCTGCTGGTATTTGTTGTAATAAATCAATTGAATTATTTTCAATTGGTGTCTCTTGCCATGTTGGTATATTTGATATTGAAACAATGTTATTTGTTGCCTAAAATAGTAGTATACATAGGTTGTATCACAACACAGTACACTATCAAACAAGCAGCCTACATACTAACACAAAATATGTATTAATTTACCAACTTTCGACATCCATAATATTATCTTACAATATACTGTGTACGTATCAGTACATTATATTACACACAAGCAGCAGCATAATGATTCTCATTGAGCTGAACAAAACGTTCAAATTTATTGTTCAAACCATTAATTTTAATTTAATTTCTATGTTGATTTTATATATCGATGAAAGCAAGTTTCTTCTATTTTAGCAAAAACAAAAACAAAACCATTTTCTGTTTTAAAACACATTCAAAAATTTTTTTTTACTAACCATAACTGTTGTTTCAATGACTTCTTTTTGAGAAAATCTGTAAGAAAAATTATCTATTACAGTTACGATAATAGTTGCTGGTTTCTGGGGGAAAAAAACAGTTCACCTCTTTAACAATGTCTTGTGCACAGCTAAAGCTTTTTATTTCATCGACATATAAACAAGAATACAGCAAATAAACCATTTCAAATATTAAATATCTGGAAATCACTCATACATACCTACAAACATAACAACATCTTTGTCACTGTCATAAATAAAATAAAAAAAAGAACACAAAAAAGTCACAAATTTTTAGTTACCAATTACTATGTACAACACATAAAATAAACAAACGCACAAATACTAATTTCAAGTTATAATCGAATTTTTATCATGTAGTTAGTTCATTAATTAAAAACCAAAACGATTGTTTCGGAGCTATTTTACTTCTGATAACATAGACTATATTCTGATGTAGTAGTATAAAGAGTAGAAGACAGATCGAGAAAACCTAGGGTTTTATTCAGATAAGAAAGTGAGAAATAGAAAACAAATGTTCAAATAATTAATAGTACCAGAAGATAATGTTAACTACTGTTCAATTCAAAACGCTCCGTGAGAATAAGAAAACATAATATTCACTCGACTACATGTTTAAAGCATTTTTACTTAAAACGTCAAACTAATTAAATATTGCATGAGCAGAGGAATTCTAGAAGTGAACGAAATAGAAAAAGAAGTGCACTTACTGAATGCAACAAACGAGTGATAACAGTCCCAAGTTTCTAAGTCAAGAGATCACCCTGGTTTTATTCTCCGTAGAAGATTGAGAACAAAACTAGAAATTACACACAAACATAAAAGACACGAAAAAAAATAGCCGAAATGTATGAGAGTAGAGTAAGAGATTCTGAATGAATGTGAAGATCATACAAAAAAAAAAGAAAAGAAGCACCGAAACAGATAAAAAGAAAGTAGACTAGGAAACTTTGGAATCATTATTTGTCGTTGCTGTCGCTCCTCCTGCTCCAATACCCGCCGATGTTGATGTAGGTAGTTGTGCTGTGGATTTTTTTACCCAAAATTGATTCTGAATACTGACAGCATCACATTGTACACTAAAAGATTTAATTGGCACATGTGAGAATTGTTTTGATCCGTTGTTATATTTATAATATGTTTCGATCATATTGTTTGTTATTTCTCGTGGACCATTACCAATTAAACGTTCAATTTTATTTGTTTGTTCAGCTTGATAGGTGTAAATGCCACGATATTGTAAACGCTGATCACGAAATAAAATAATAAAATGTTTAGCCGTATCACATTTTTCAATATCATCACAGACTTGTTCACGAATTTTTGTATTAACACGTCCAGCTAATATCACTTGACTCAATGAATTGATAATTGTTTGTTTATTACTTTTGCCCGATAATGGTTTAGCCAATGGATATTTCGGTTCAACAAACGATAATTCATTGGAAGATGGTACACTAGTCAGTGAAGTTGGTATAGGTGTTGCTGCTGCTGCTGCTGCTACTACTGCTGTTGCTGCTGTCGAAGACGGTTGATGTGAACGTCCTGAATTACGAGGTATTGTACGCAAATTAGAATTGTTGGCCGATGACAATGGAGGCAAAGTATAAAATGATGACATAGATTTTGGTGGCGTATGTGTAGAACGTAATTCGGCCAATTTAACAAAAGATAAATCATCATTATTCAAATCATCATGAACAATCGTTGAACTTCCGTCTTCAACATCAGTACCACCGCCAAAACCGGGCGTGATTATTGGACCTAAAATACATACAATACATAACTAATTTTCTATCTGAATGAATATAATCAGCGTTTCCAACTAAACGATTGAATATTCCACTATGTGTCTGCAATTTAATTTCATCTTTTTATCGTACTCTCACAAAAGTTTATATACCTGATGGTCGTTTTTCTGTCACACGATTTGAACCTTTTTGTCTTGTTTTAATCATTGTATTATACTTATCACCGTTATCATCATAATCCATCCCACCATTCTGTTTATTATCTTTTTTCATCAAATATTGACGATATATTTCTTCTCGTCGCTGTTCACGTTCATTTCGTTTTTTCAATTCGTCCTCGTCTTTCATTCGTTTCTCAAAATCACGTCTAGCATTTTCTTCTTCTCGTTTAAGTCGTTTCATTTCAAACTGTTTTTGTCGTTCTAATTGTTTATTTAACATTAGTTCACGTTTTTTTTCCATTTCAATTGCTGTTGACTCTGTTGTACTATCGATAATTTCTAACACGAGTGCTGTTGGAATTGGTTGTTGTTCTTCCTGTTGCTGTTGGTGATGATCCACAACTAAAGGAGGACTAAGTACAAATGGTATAGGTTCACGTGGTACTGATGAATTTGACGATCGTCTGGTAAATGTTCCTTTATTATTTATAGAGGAAGAAGCAGTAGTCGTTGATGGCTGCTTTTGCTTTGTAACACTGAATGTTGGCTTTCTCGATATTGTGTTATTTGCTACGATTGGTTTAGACTCTTTAGTATCGACTGACGTGCTAACTTGACTCTGTAATTGTTCCTGCTTAATTGATAATGTTGTTATCACTTTTTGTAGCTCACTTATATTTGAAGTTAATTTTTCTATTGATTTATCATAATTTTGCAATTCAGAGTACGATGACAAATCATCGTGATCAGATGATGTAGGAGGTGATACGGAACGGTGTTTAATCGTTGGAGTTGTTTCGCCAACATATTTTAGTTTATTTTTCAACTCGTCGCCTTTTTTCTCATCTACCATTGCCGTGGTTGTTGTTGTCTCTATATATTTCTTTTTTAATAATTCTAACGTTGCTAGAAAATCATCGGGAGTCATTGGTTTGGATAAATCAACAATTGTGGATAAAGGGACTTCATCTGTTCGTGGACGTGTTTCTACCATAGTAGTTGACGATTTTTTTAATTTTCTTGTCGTCGTTTTGTCATCGCTCTGTTTTTGATCGATATAACTATTGTTCATGTTTGCTGGAACAAAAAAAATACCATATTTGCGTATTAATAAAAAGATGGAATTGAGATAACTTAGCGGCATGTTAGGTAACATATCTTTACGCTACAAATGAAAATTTCACAAGCATTCATTGTTGTGAACATCATCTTAACAAATAGGAATTCAATGCCTCATCCTCTCACAAAAGTATTTCATGTTTACCTGGCGCTTCAAATGATGTTTTTTTATGTTTTTGTGTTTGATGTTGTTCTTCTTTCGGTAGAAATGATTGCAAATCATTTTTTCTTTTTTGTTGTAATAATTGTTTGAACGCTTCATGTCCGATTGTTTGACGTTTTTCATCACGTGAAATTTCTAAACGTTGTTTATCTCTTTCAATTGATTTTTTCTTCATTTCTAATTGCATTTTAATTGATAAAAATTCTTTATTTATACGTTCATTTTCATCGTTATTGAAATTATTATCATTTGTCTTTGGTATTTGGATAGCCGCTTGTTTTTGCCAGGTTGTTGTAGCAAATGAAGTCTTTTTTGGCGTACGAACAATAATATCATCGTCATGATTGAAAGATGATGGTATAATGGAATTTTTTAAACTACTTTTCATCGACGACTTAATTGGTAATTTTTCAGACGATACTGGAATCTAGAAAGAAACAAAATTTGATAAATATACAAACGAAGGCCACCATGTTACGAATCTTTGAATACTTACGCTACTTGCCGATGATTGTCTTAGATTATTATCATGATTCGTCATTGTTTGTAAAACAATTTCTGTTGGAGTAATAACTGGTGGATTAAATGATTTTGTTGTTGATAATTGTACTTGTTTTTCTTCATTGTAATGATTATAATCGAAATTTTCATTTTCATCACCATCAATAGAATAAGTTGATCTCAACATATTATCTTCATCGTCAATTTCATCATATTTTTCATCATGATCGACACGTTGTGTATTATTTTTCATTTTTAATATTTTCTTTTGAAAATTTTCCACTAAATTGTTGTGTTGTTCACTATCTGTTGTATAAACAGAATATTCATAAATATAAAATAATTCAATTAAAAATGCAATTATATTTGGATGTAATGAAGCATAATTGGATATAAATGGTTTAATATGAAATGAAAATAATCCCGACTTTTTATGATTTAAAAATATTTTTAAATATTTAATATTTTCGTAAATATTCACCGGTGACAAATATTCACTCATATTGAGTAATTCATACGAAAATTTTTTATCATAAAATCCAAGAAGAATACCTAGACACTTTCCATCTTGTATATCAGAATTTAAATTGATTATAGGTGGTATACGTTTAAAGACAAATGATTTTGCCACATACTCACAAATGCCATTCATCCAAATAATCAATAAAGATTCAATGTCATGTGTAATGGATGATTGTTGTTTCAAAGATGGAGATTGATTTAAACGTTCTAATCGTTTCATAATTATACTCTGTTTTAGAACACGAGTGGAGTAAAACCACATTAATGTATCGATCATTGACAAATGAGCTGATGCACATAGTGGTTCGTCCTGCTTTAGTGAATCATATGATATACATGATGTCAATGGATGCTGAAATTGATTTAGTATATCGAGAACATCGTTCAGTGTCAAATTTTTATCGTCTTCATCTTCCTCTACATCGACACTTGTCATACGACAAATATTTGTATAAGCACGACAATACAAATCACCAGATAATAAAACAAGAGCAATATCTGGATTTAGAAAACGTTGTTGTTCGTTATTATCATCTGTTTCAAAAACAAAAAATTGTTTTTTTGGCAAATAATCAGGTATGGAATTATTGTACGCTTTATTAAGCAACCATCGAACAGATGAAGTTAGTTTCTCCGCATCCTGATCGTAATCATCTTCTCCATCTCTAGTTTCATCGTCATCCGATGTTAAATCATAACTACTATTCACATGTTCTTCTTGATCAAATAATTTCATTGACAAGTTATTTTTATTATTGTTTTTATTCAGAATAAAACCATATTCATTCTTAGCCATCCATATAGAGACAAACAAATATCTAATAAATCTAAAATGTTATAAATATTGGTAACAATTATGAGTACAAATGGTTACTTTATACACAAGAGTATAAGAATGGAGGAACACAACATGAACCTTTTGCTATGCTGCTGCTGCTACTAATACCTCAACACTCCTTAACATTAAAACAAGACTCTGTTAGCAGTATCATTTGTTTATGTCGTTTAACAAATTATATTTGATAATCTAATGCACGATTTACTTATGAGTTCTTTTCTAACAGTATTCAGCTAACCATAATATAAATAAGAAAGATTAGATCATGTATGTTCATATTCAGCAGACAAACTATAGCAGACACAAGTGTTTGTATGACGTTAGGATATATTGTACTATTGTTAGTTTTTTTTTCGTTCATAATCAGAAGATATACATAGTCTGTTTTAGTACATTCTTTTACATGGCATGTATATAATATAAGTTGGTAACTATAAAAATGTGTGTTCATCATTTCTCGTGTACGATTGTCACGATTATTCAACGGTTTTTTTCTTCTTCTTTTCATGTCCCATATATATATATATATAAAATATGTTGGTTCTAATTTCTGTATCAAATATTCATTCATACACTTAACACGTATCAACCTCGACTCATCTATATCTACATATCTCCCAGATACATTATTTTCTTTTCTACATTTTCTACGACTGATTATCATCATTATGGCATTATTAACAATACAACACATGTTGCTATTAACAAAACCATTTTGATAGATTAATTAAAAATACTGAAAGATAATGAAGAGACTATATTCTTAAGCTACAGCACTTTACACAGCAAACTTTAAAACTTCTGTATTTGGCTTGAAAGTTGCATATGAACTGCTTAACTGTTCGAGATATGACTTCTACGAGATTGCGGAGAATAGATCTCTTAGTTTCAAAATTGTTGTAGTAATAAAAGTATCTAGTTTAAAATTTATTTCGACGTCGAAAAACAGTATAACGAAAATTAAACTGGATGCTGTTATTACCACAACAATTTTAAAATTTTTACCCTTAGACACGTGCCCTTTTGTGCACTTAGCTTCAAATAGTATGCTTCAACATCAGATGAAGAAAGATTAGGATCACAAATAAATAGAATGACCCATCAATGTCATTTAGTTTTCCATCTACATGACAACTTTATCAGCATAAATGTCCTTTCAGCTGTCACATATTTATATGTAGCGAATAAGAGTATTATTTTGTCTACGTACATATCATAAAATCAAGGCTATTATATGGAATCTATTTCTTATGAAATTTGTAGGATAAAACCAGCCTAATGATTTTTAGAATATCGGCATGCAAATGCTCTAGGTTTCAGTTGGGAATATACACAGAAGCTAACACAAGCCAATCATTCTGTTAACTCCAGAAATCAGCTAAACAGACAGAGGGGATAAGCCAGCTACTTTGAGTCTGACAGTATGTGAACAAAAAGTTTTTTTGTTTGATGGAGGTCATCAGGTTACAGATCGGAGACCTTTAGGTCTGTACTAAAAAGCGTAAAATTGAACAGTACACTCGAATCACTTGTACGCCCTATTGCCTGGAATTTTTAAGCTATCAATAGGAAAGCATACGAGTGTTCAATTGTATCCTTTTTAGTATGGATCGATCTTTGATGATCTCTCATTTTACGCGAATAAATTCATTCATTCAAAGTTGTAAAACCGATGTATACTGTCTCTGAAGCAACCTTAAAGATCCTAGAACACTATAAAAAAAAGAGATTAACAAAGCAAATGCTTCAAAAGACCTGAGAAGCTACTACTCAATTTGCTTAACATATGTAATCTAGTACTTCGAACTTAGTTTTATTAGACCATATAAAACATTTAGCTAATATAAGCAGTTAAGCGCAGCACAATTCACAAGAAAGAAGAGCGTATCCATACTGATATCAGTGTAAATTGAAGATTAAAGAATGCTTTTATACTCTTAAACACTCTTTGAGAAAAAATTCATGCTCTCTCTTACAATAGTAAAGTAAGGAAATTTATCCTTTGTTCGACTGCACATGTCACGTACTTCAGCAGAAAATGTTGCACAAAAATTCATAGCTATAGTGTGACACAGACTGTGCGTTTTTCATGAAAAATTTGCCGATTAAAGAGAGGAAAAAATAAAAATATTTGAAGCTTCGATAAAGTTCTAACAATCGTTTCTTATCTGTTTTATTTCGTTATGTTCGGCTTTGGTATGACGATACGTCGCATCGGCTACTAATGGCATTTGTGATTGGCTACCCTGTTGTTACGTATTCGCCATTAATAAAGTATCTTAGAAAGACCTCACATCTATTCTTTAAATAATAAGTTGATACGCTATATAGAAAATCTTTAACTATAACTTGAGGAAAAATATTATTGAACAAAAAAGCGATGTGAACAGAGCTATCGCCTAATGTAGTGCCACGTTCCACATCTTTCTACTCATTCGTTGACTGTTTTGACAAGTTCTTTGTTTGATTTTCTTTATTTGTTTATGTGTTTATTCCTTTATCTAAATAATAGCCAACCTTTCTATGACGATAAATTCAAGTATATTGTACAAAAAATCGAATTAGAACTTGCTTTTCAATAATATAAGTAACAAAGATGTGTTTTTTATTTTGAAGTTGATTTTCTAAAACAGTTCAAAATTAGCATGGCTCAGACTACAACCATTACCGATTATTTTAAACAAAAGCGATTATCGTCAAATGTTTTTCATGAGAATGAAAAAATGAAAAAACTCAAAACTCAAGATATTCAGCAATTAGGTGAATTTGTCTAAATGTTTGTTTATCAAAAAAAAATGTTTCTATAATATAGTTTTTTTCTTTAGTACCCAGTACACCACCGAAGTCAAAACGTCCGATTCTTCTTACAACATCTCGTACAACACCAAGACGAAAATGTAAAAAAGAACAGAATCTTGATTCTCTCTTCGATTTAACAGGTAATCAATCGTTATCCAGTCTGTAGTAAAATGTCCATTATTTTTCGTTGTTTTTAGAAAGAAGACCGTCTGTTAAAAATAAAGAAGATAAAGAAGCACCTTCAGATTTTAAATTTACAAAAACAATTAGTCAGAATTATACTTTTAATTTTGACATGTTAATCACAGAAGTACCTGTTTCCTCTCTACCAACACCAACAGAAAACTGGACTACTTCCGTTGATTCCATTTGTTCTGCTTTATTATCACCTGTTAAACCTGAAACACCTCCATCGACACCGAGTGAACAAACATCAATAACACCATCGAATATACTATCGTTATTGCCGTTATCACGACGTGTTGAAATTAAAAAGTAAGAAAATGATTGATCTAAGTTAGCAATTACTATTTAATTGTTTCTTTTTTTTCAAGAGCGGTACCCGCTTATGAACGTTTCAAGGATTTGACAAATAAGTGCACTGATACAACATTGATTTTACCATCGAAATATAAACTTTTATTTGAACAATTCAAAACAAGTGATTTTTTTATTTGTAATGTTCATAATAGAAACGAAAAACCAACATTTCAAAAAATAAAACAAAATGTTCAACAAATAACAAAACGGTAAGTAAAAGTTGTTTATTGATAGCGAGGAATACTTAAAATAGAACAGACTTTTTAAACTTTTTAATCTGAAACGATTTGATAAGTTCAAATCTCTTCTCTTTTTTTAGAAATTTTGAAATATCGACACTATGTAAAATAAAAACAGTATATTCAACTGCATATGAATATCGTCAAGAGAAAGTTCAAAAATTAACAATGAGTCCAACGAAAATAAAATATGAATTAGTGGTTTATCCATGTTTAATTGGTATGTATAAAACTGAACGTGTTGAAAGATAATAGAAATCTGTTCTTCCTTTTTTAAGATTTTGAAATAAGTAATGACTTTATTCATTCAATCGGTATTGATCCAAAAATGATTATAGAACGATTAAAACGTTTTCAATCAAAATTGTTTGATATTGTTAAACGATTTCATAAAGTATGTTTCAATAACACAAAAGTCAACTTTTTAGTTGTTAAAAATTATTCTTTACTTTGTAGATGTTCATATCGAGTATTTATCAATTGAAAGAAGTTAATGATGATAAATATATACGATGGCATCCGGAGTTTGATCTTGAAAACGTTCCCGATATTGAGCTTGCTGATTTACCTGAACCACCAAAAGAAGTCGAAGAAAAAAAACTTGCAACAACATTGGACATTTTACGTCATGCGCAGACAACACAATCTGAACGAGTAAATATAAATCAACTTTTTCTAATGTGTTAAACTGAATAAATTCTCGCTTTTTAGGTAAAAAAAGCTTTGTCTAAAATTAGTCAGAATTTGACTTCAAATATAGCAGAAATTCAACCATTAACTGAATTGGATTCAAAACCAGTGAAACATATTGTTGGTGTTAAAGCTGAACTTTTGAAACAGGTAGATCTTTTAATAATTGTTTTATATAAACGGATTGTGTATTTATCTTTATTTTTTTGTAGATACGTTTAAAAGAAATGCAAAAAATTCAATTAGCTGCTCTGGAAAATCCTGATGAACAAAAAACGTTGACAATTACTCGTCGTTTACCAGAAACAATTGAATTAATTCAACAATATTTCACAACACAACGACAAATTGCAATTGAAATTGATCTCGTTTGTAAACAATTGAAAGATTGTCATAGATCCGGATTAACAGAACGTAAGTATTTGTTCAAAAGAAAAGTCGATATACGTAAACAAGTGGACAGATGGTGCTAAGCTAGAAATGTTAGCCTTCGTAGACGGAAGTAAAAGTCAGAGCTGCTGAAATTGAATAATATCACAATCATTTCAGTAAAAAGTTTACTGTTAACAAACTTGAAAAAAGATATTTTACTGTACTTGAAATTAACCTTTTTCTAACTCAATTAAAAAACTTGCTCGATAGTTCTAAAAATTTTTCCATATTGACAACTCGATAAGCACTATAAACAAAATTCTTTTTTATTTTCAGATTTATGATGAGTTTTTAGAGATCAAACTTAAAAGATCCACTCAGAAACTCAATAAGAGGACAAACGGACGTCAGATTCGCAATCAGCATCAAGGGTTACCTTAATTTTAATTAGAAAAGCTTTTAATCACCAGGAAAAGTTTCCCCGTTGAAGAACTCTGATGCGACTCGTTTTATTAAGCACACTTTTCATCACAAAACGAGACAATCAGTGATGAGCAAGCCCACTATTTTTTCAGTCCGAGTCCAGTCCTAGTCCGTGTGAAAAAGTGTATCAGTCCGGACTTGGACTTGCCCATCTGTGGAGACAATCGTGAGTTCATAGTGTACTTTTGTTTGAAAGATATAAAAATAACAAAATAGCGAAAAAGTGTCTGACTTACGTTATCGACCAAGTTACACGAAACGATCGCTTATCATTTGAGCAAAATTTTCTAAACAATATGCTAAAAAAAGATGCAGTGTATCTCAGATAGGAAATTCTTTTCTATCAGTAAGAATTTTTTATTTTTGGAATATAGACGACAGCAAGTGATAAATACATAACAGTTTTTATTAGTAAACTATATAGAAAAATCTATTTTCATTTATTTAGTCGAATCTGTTGAATTAGTTCGTTATCTATGTGAATGTCAAGAAAATGATGGATGGTTAAAAATATTAAAAATGCGTAATAAAGAATATGTCAAAATAAATAATCAAAAATCAATTAAAATAATTATTGAAAATATTCAACAACGTATTTGTGATAGTTAAATGAAAAATGTTTGATACATATATTTTTTTTTTCTTTTGTTATTTTTTGTTATATACTTAGTTTTGACTCTTATTGAGTAAAAAAAAATGTCAGATGTATTTTTTGTATATCTATTTTAGATACTAAATCTTTTTGTTTGCTCCATTTGTTTGTTTTTTCTATTTTGTATAATCTCCCTCTGTTGTTCTTTTGTGTCTTTGCTTTAATTTGTATTTATTCTTGTACTTTATTTTTTTAAGAAAAAATAAAAGCTGTTTTCTTTTTTCTAGTAATGTTTTTCTGTTTTTTTCTCTGAACATAGATTAGTTTGTCAGTGATGAATGAGTATGTCTTCACAATATTTTATTGCTTGTGATTATTTTTCAATAGAAAGTAGAAAGAGACAAAAACAAAAAAGAAAAAGAAATTGTATTTTTTCTAACATTTGTCTTGTTTGTTTTCATCTATATATTTTTTGTACATTTAATGGATAAATTAAAATGAGAATTGCTCAATAAAAATAAAAGTAGAAAATAGAAATAAATAATATTATCGTATACAATAATAAAAACGTTCGACCCATTATCGCACTGATTTTTTTGACATAAATTGGTAACTAATTTATTTAATCTTACTAAATAATTATTCAATTTTATATTGGATAGATTTTTTGATAACTGTTAATAACCCTAAATATTTCGTTAGTTCTATTATTAGTAAGATTAGGTTGCGTTTTCTACATTTTTCATTTGAAAGACAACAACATTGCACTATGACTGAAAAAAACAAGATAATATGATTTCTTTTCAAATTAGTGATTTATTTGATTTCGTTTTCGTCATATTAAATAAAGTCATGTAACCCTTCTTATTACTGGTTTTATGATATGTATCAAGAGATTAAAACCATGAAATATACTCAATGATGAAATTTACTTAATGACCTAGACCATAAGTTTGATAACTGTGCTACTAGAAAACAGTGAAGCACAAATAGCAAAAAAATCTTTTTTTCTTTTTGTTGTTATTAAAATATTAAATGAATGTTGTTAAATCAAAAAATGGAAAGAATAAACGTTGATCAAAAGTATACAGACTGAAAATAGAGGACTGATCAATTGATTTATCTTTATTTCCTGAATAATGAGAAGAAGAAAACAAGAAACTCAAGTTTTTTTTTTATTTTAGACAAAGTATTTATTTGTAACAGAAGACAATGCACAAAAATATTTGAATATTCAAAGATGAGAAAAACTAATTTTATCAGTCTCGTTTGAACTTACTGTATTTATTTTTTTGTCGATTGTTTTTTATGAAGCGTTTAATCTGTTCACAGAAACATGATTTAATCAGTGTTGAGATTTATGATAAATTTACTTTTATATCCATTTACACTCACTTTTATACTATTTATCGTCTTCTACACTGAGATCTAATATAAAAACAATAAAATACGATTGTTATAGTGACATTGTACTCATAAATTGATCAGCGAACAATATTAGAAGACAAACTACACTTGCATTTCAGAAATATTGTGAGATGCTTGATGATATTGCCAAATAATGTGAACATGTATTACACATAATCAATAGACTCTATTCTAGGTAATCATAAAATATGTCAGATGTGGTTATCATCTGGTGTACGTATCTAATATTATCATGATGATGTAACGAAATACATCATATGTCCATTTGTATGCTGATCACATCCGATGAGAATTAGGAAACAGTATTATTTTAATGAATACCAATTATATATTATATATTAGTAATAAAATATTTTTATAACATTCTAAGAGAGAGATGTAGACGAGATGATAGAGTTTTTTATGTAAAAAATCGATCATGTATATGACTAACAAAACTATTTTTATTCAACATGTTAGACATTAATTATAGACACATTGTCATCTGGTTCAGTTAGTTTTAGCCAACTATTAATTTATGAATTAAAATCGGTAAACGAGAAAACTAAAGTCAAAATTTATTGTATACAACCATATTTTATAATAAAATCAATGTTCAATGACATGAAACTAAGATTGCAATGTTTATTTCCTTTATTCGATACTGATTATGTTGCTATATAAATACTTGATTCAATTGTATGAAATAGACAATTAGTCATACTACCATATTGACTGGAATATATTACATTTCTGAATACTTTTGTCTTATAAAAATAGTTTAAACAAAAATTTTCATGTTTTATGTAGCTGAACAAAACCTATTAGAGATGTTCTAAACAGAAAAGAGATTATATGTTCTACTTGACTGATTATTTTATATAAAAATATATTCTGATTCTCATTTCAGTTCATTGTTGTTTTTGCTTTCTTAGTTAATATTTTATAGAATTATCGCTTTTGTCCGTTGTGAAAAAAACAGGCCATTGTTTTTCTTTTGTGATATTACATCTGATCATTGTGTAAAAATCAGAAGTTATTAGATGAAGAAAACTTCTATATCAGATATATGCCTATCATTTAGATCAGTTAGAATAGACACTCTGATATGACTCTCTATGACGAGATTTATCTTTAGAACAATTCAGTACATCTTCAGCCAGTTCATAATCCAATCCTAGTAGAACGATGATAAGAGATTCTCGTTTGTATCCAAGATCCACAGCTTATCTATTTGCTCAGAGTAATTATATGGTTTTACAATGTGTCTACTATTAGTTTCATGAACTTGTTGTTCATTATGAGACGAACATATAGAGAAAGGGATAAGTGCAGTAAAATGTTAAATAAAACCACATAATTCCTATTTATGAGTCAGTACGCTCTTAAAGAACTTTTTTCATCAAAATTCGGTGAAATGTTTTTGCATGTGGCATGAGACATGGAATATATAAACAAATTCCATAATTATCAGAATATAATAGACAAATAGTTATACAACGAATAGTTTCAATATAAAGAATCAAACAAGTTAGAGATCTGTCATTTAAATGACCATAATTCAATACATAAGCACTTTTTTTCTATATTACTTTACTCAAAGTTGATGCAATAACATTATTTCAGCTTTTGTGTGTAATATCTATTAGTACTGTGCACAATTTTTGCTGATATAGAAGTGTTAAAATGTTTAACTTACGTTTCTTTCTCTATACTAACTGAGCTAATCGTAATTTCATGTTATAGTAAGCGTAAACGATTGCTTGGGACTATTTTCCGTGCCAAGGATGCATATGTCGAAAGTGATATACAGTCACATGGTAAAATTTATTCGTGTTTAGATTTTTTTCTTTTCATTTACTTGATTTCTGAAGTCGCTATATTGAATGATGAATTCAATTATTATGCAATTAAAAATACACTAAAAATTTCAAGACGCAAACATGCAATGAACACATAAAAAAAGGAAACAATATATATTAAGATACTGCAAGACTGAGTGAGTGTTTCTGTTATGAAACAGTAAATTCTTTCTTGTTCAAATTTTTGTTCTTCCCGAAAGTTGTATATTAATTACATCGAAAGAACTTTGAAGTTTACTGACTCATTTTACTTACTTTATTTAAATCTAAAAATTACAGACAGTTTGTTCTGCATTTTGCCTATAGGATGTATAATCGAAAATTTTTTTTGTTGAAAACAGAGTTTTGTTAAAGTACAAAGCTGTATGAACAACGCAGTGACTAAAATCAGGATGTTAATTTAATTACAATAGAATGACTGTGTCTTTTTTTGCATGTAAATGATACTTTTTTTCAGAAGAACAACGGTTTCCTAGAATAACTGAACAGAAGAAAAATAAAATAATTAGAGAAAGAAACATAGAAGAGATTTTCATGTTTTTGCCTGCTCTGATCAATAATAGGTTATATTTGTTTCGAATGCATAGTTTTTTTTCTTTATTTGTCGTACGGTAAATTGTTAAACTGATGTCAAATAAGTACTAAAGATTACTGAACTGAAAATACAAACGGACAGTCAAGTTAGTTGTACAGATGGTTTTAAGAAAATTTAGATTGTTGTTTCAAAAATTCACTCAGAATATAAGATGAATGATTTTTTAGAAAAAAGATGAAGAATTTTTGTATGTTAAAACCATCAAACTTATTTTTCTCTTTTTTATAATTTGTTCGATGATGTCTGACTTCTAAAGAAGAAAATACCCCTTCATCATGAACATTATTTTCTGTCGTTCAACGGTTTTTTTTAGAATTTTTACAGCTTGCATCAGTGATTCTCAGTAAACATGCTCTTATCAATTTTGGATGTCAAATATTTATCGAGTTTAGCACGTTTATAACAAGATTCATGTTCACCATTTAAATACCAGTAACATTGTTGACACTTTTCTTTTTTTTGTGTAGAAAAAAGAGAAAAAATTTCTCGCATGACAAAAGGCTCATCTTATGCCTTATCCTGTTACGCCCCCTGCTATAAAGATTCGTTAAAGAAAAATATTTTCTTGGTCTTCTTATTTCGTTTAAAAACCTAATGAGTTCGAATTTGTGCTGATAAAATACAATCACAGTTAAGTATATAGCATGCTGACTGATTTCGTAAAAAGTTTTTTTTTTTTTATCAATTGGAATATTAGAAACGTGGATAAGAACGATAATAATCGTTTCCCCTGTGGAGTTATTGTTATTCAAGTTTTTTTCCTTTTTCTTCTCCTTGAACTCAAAACTCAAAATCATTTCTTTTTTTTTTTAACTTTTTTTTATCTGTTGAGCGTGTATGCCTCTTGTCTCTGGTTTTTCTACAATAATTTTTTATTTCATCATTTCTGTATATTGCTAACACATCTAATTATCTATCCACCAAGTCGTTGGTGGTTTGGGAAATGAATGGATTATTACGAAAAAAACTGGAAAATAGAGAAAGAAAAGAAAAGAAAAGAAGAAATCATATATAAAGAAAATATTAATATGTAGAAGAAATAAAAGAACTTCATGAAGACATTAAAAATACTTATCGTGGCATCAACAACATACACAATACATATACTTGGAAAAGCTTAGATTATTTATCTTTGCCTTCTAGAAAAGCATATGAACTTCTTACTTCTTCAAGTGTACTTGTCGGTTTTCTTTCTTTTCTTTCTTTCTTTTGTTCTCTCTCTCTCTCTCTGTATATATATATTTATTCGAACATGAGTATTCTTAATAAAATAGGATGTTCTTCTTTACTCTAAAAAGTATTATCAGGTAGATATTTATTTGATGGTTCTATATATTGTCTGTGTTTCCGTTATTATTAATATCTCTCAATTTTGTTTTGCAATGGTGCAACCTTGTGACAAGTGACTGACTGAGAAAAAAAGATTAATAGATTCCGTATGGGTTTGACTGTATTAAATCATTTTATGGTTTAGTGGATAGTGTTGGATGTATCTTTTGAGATACTAAAAGAATAGTTTATAGTGACTTAAAATTTAAATTTTTGAGATAAAAAAATAAAAAAAATCAGTTTTGTTTAAAAAACTTTGATTTTCCCGATAATATCATAGTCAATATTAAAGCTTAAATTTTAAACATAAAATCAGTAAAACTTGCTTATTTGTTACCTGGTTGTATATATTAATTTTTTCGTTTCTTTTCAATATTGAAATTTGAAACTTTTATAGAAAGATGTTGAACTATTCGTATGTAATTGTACCTGTCTTTATCATTATGTTTTCCAGTGAATTTATTCGATAAAGAAAGAAAAAAAAAGCAATAGAAGAATGTTTCATATCGTTGTTTGTATAATCAATGGAAATTTTTCAGAATAATATAAAAGAAGAAAATAGTGTCTGTAATGTATTCTCCCTTCATCCCTCCTATTTTAGGAGAAAGATTTCTTTACACTCAAAAGTACTGTATACAGACAAAGACTTTTCGTTATTCTTTTCATAAAAATGTCGAGTAGTGTAAAAGTTATAGTAGCCATTGTTGAACAGATGCTATTTTTTTTTTTTTTGTAGATTATTTTGTCAACTGATGTTCTTTTTTTAAGACGATGATGAACGATCAATCTTGTGTGCATTGTTCGTTAATAGTAAAATAAAATTATGACGTAGTCATACACGTGTTGAAAAACCAGTTAAGAATTGAAGAACAATTCACCTCACCGTAAGTGGTAGAAATGTGCATTTAATTTTTTAGAGATAATTCGTTGTACAAACTTTGATTTCCGACTGTTTTTTGAAGATTGAAAAAGTTAGATTTTTCTCTACTTTGAGAGGTGAATCTTCACTATTATTATATAATTTTAATTATTTGTATGGTTTAATATTTTTGATTATTTTTCAGTTTTGAACGGCCTCCCCATTGGGCGTAAAGGCTATTGGGTGACTCGACAATGGTCTCAATGAATGAAGAATGAAACTTAAATTGGTGAATTGGATAATTTCTTGGTTATTATTTATTATGGTTAAATATGACAATAGGTCTTTATTAGCATTAAATTCACCCATAATCACGGTTAATATTGGTAGGATTATTGAGATGAAAATTATCGTTCATATAATAAATATTAAAGTCTATTTTTAGGTGGTGTATTTACTGATCGTGACGAAGGTTCAGACACAAAGTCAATGGAATATATATTTAAATCGGCCGTTTTTTATTTTAATCGTAAAAACAATACCAAATGGGATAATAATATTAAATATAGTGTAGAAACAATAAATATTAGTTCAACAGGATCAGCCGTTCAAGCTGTTAAAGATGGTTTGTACAATGAAACTTTTCTGAGATAAATTTTTCTAATTTTCTTATATTCTATTAAAAGTAGTTCATAACGACCCATAAACTTTCTATTTCTTTTAGTATGTTCAATAATTGAAACTCGTCATGTTAACGGCATATTTGGTCCACCCTATCCACCATTAGCCACTCTGGTACAATCAATGTGTTATTATGTTGATATACCATTTGTTAATGTTTGTAGTACGTGTTATGATTCTGAAGATGATGATGATGATGGATTAAAACAAACGAAATCAAAAAGAATGTTTGTGAATCTTTATCCGTCCAATCGGGATTTAAATCTTGCATTTCATAGTTTAACGCGAAATTTACAATGGATAAAATTTTTAGTTATATATGATACTGATTCAGGTAAATGGTTTCCTTATGTTTCTACTTATAATATGCAATGAAACGTTTTATTTTGTTTTTTTCTTCAAAGGTTTAACTCGATTACAAAGTTTATTAAATGCACCAGGTATTAATCAAACCGATATACTTGTACGTCAATTAACTGATCCAAAAGATCGTTCAGTGTTGACCGATGCGATTAGTCGTGATATATTTAATATTATATTAGATTTAAATGATGATAATACAAAACATGTATTAAGAATGGCGTTACAATTAGGAATGATCAATTCGAATTATCATTATTTATTAACTACACTAGTATATATTATAGTCAAATATTTTAAATATAAAATTCATTTTTATTTTAATTTAGGATATTGATACGTACGATCTTGAAGATTACAAATATAATTATGTTAATATAACAGCGTATCGTTTGTTCAATAGAGATAGTCTTATAGTTAGCGATGCAATGAAATATTATTTTGAATTTAAACGAATTGAAAATAATGAACAAAATCGACGAACATTTACAGTTAGTACATCTATTGTCTAATGATTATTATTGCTTTAACCAAACATTTTTAGTTTAGACTCAAGTAGCATTGTGGATAGATGCACTATCGGCATTTGCAATGGCCTATGATAAATTTTTATCTGGACCAAAATCTTCGATACCAATTGATTATATTCCAAATCCATCATGTCATTCCGATTATCCGGCAAAAGGATGGCCAAAAGGGAACGAATTATATTCAAAATTTCAAATAGTAAATATATTAGCAATTTTATTATCATTTCTACAAGCATACGTTTTTTCTATTTACGGGTCAAATTTCATGGACTAAGTGGTCTAGTACAATTTTCACCATATGGTGAACGAACGAATTTTGAATTGCAAATTGTTCATCTGTCTGAAATGGGACTTATTCAGGTCTGTTTTATTTGTAGTGTTTTGTGTTGAGTCAAATGATGAATATTAATATTTTAGATCGGCGCATGGAATCTTGAAATAGGTGCTAATTTTACACTATCTCCAACATCAAGAGGTGGTTTATTTAATTCAACACTAATTGTTACCACTATTATCGTATGTATTGAAATTAAAGTTTAGCTATTTAACTCATTGTATGTGTGTGTGTGTTATTTTAAAGGAACCACCGTATGTTATGCTAAAAAAGAATAGCAATAGCACTGAAGTGCCATATAATTATACGAATGATGATTTTGAAGGATTCTGTATTGATTTACTTGAAGTAAGACGATAATAGATGTACAAATCATTTTATATAATATCATACATTTTAGGAGTTATCAAAAGTAATGAAATTCACTTACAGAATCGAACCAATTCGAACACGAAATTATCAAGAAATGGTTGATCATGTGAGAAAAAAGGTTCGTTAAAAGAGAAACATTTAAACTCATTTTTGTTAATTTAACTCTGTCTTTTACTATTTAGGAAGCAGATTTAGCTGTTGCACCCTTAACAAGTATGTTTAATACATCTCATAATATATCTTTACTTTTTTTCTGTCAATTATTTTTGTCTTCTTCATTTTAGTTAATTATGCCCGAGAGAAACAAATTGATTTCACTAAACCATTTTTAAGTTTGGGCATTGCTATTTTATTTAAATTACCATTACCAGAAAAACCGGGATTATTTAGCTTTCTTAGTCCATTATCGCTCGAGATATGGATATATACATTTACGGCTGTATTAACTGTTAGTCTTATATTATTACTCATTGCACGTTGTTCACCAGATGAATGGCGAAATCCCTATCCATGTGATACAGACTATCATTATTTAGAAAATAGATTTACAGTTAGTAATACATTGTGGTTTTCAATTGGAACATTAATGCAACAAGGTGAATAAAATATCGTAGTCTAAAGGATTTTTTTTTTAGAGTTAACATCTAAAATTTGTACATCATCTACACAGAAAAATTCAACTAGTCTCATGGAAAATTTCTTTTAGGTTCCGATGTTAGTCCATCGGCAATATCAACAAGACTTGTTTCTGGCATATGGTGGTTTTTTACATTAATATTAATTTCTTCCTATACAGCTAATTTAGGTAGACATTTTTTTTTGTTTAATAAATAAAATATGTTACTATATTTATTAACATTAATTTGTAGCTGCATTTCTTACCGTGGAAAAACTTGAAAACCCAATAGAGGGCGCCGAAGATTTAGCGAAACAAAGCAGTATTAAATATGGTGTACTTAAAAATGGTACCACACAACAATTTTTTAGAGTAAGATTTTAAGAACATATTTAGTGTATAAATATAGTTTGAACTTTACATGACTCAAATGTTGTACGTAATACGTCTTCTTCATTTGTTAGTCGCTACTTCAACTCTTTTGATAAATATATCTATAGCAGTTGTTGTAGAACTAAAATTTCTTTTGTAATGAAAAGTAAATGCTCTATTTGTTTTATACCGTTCAGGATTCAAGCATTCCGACCTATCAAACAATGTGGAAACAAATGGTGTCTAATCCTGATGTGTTTGTTGATAGTAACAGTGAGGGCATTGAGAAAACACTAAAAGGACAATATGCGTACTTAATGGAATCAACAACAATTGAATTTACTGTACAACGGGCATGTGATTTAACACAAATTGGGGGCTTATTAGATAATAAAGGCTATGGTATTGGTCTACCAGAAGGTAAATTAGGTCATTCAATGATTTTATCGCATCTAATATAATCACTTATTCCAGGTAGTCCACATCGTGAAAAATTTTCTGAAATAATACTTGATTTACAAGAAAAAGGTATAATACAAAAATCCTACAATAAATGGTGGAAAGGAAAAGGTTCATGCGTACGAGAAGATAAAAAAGATTCAAAAGCAAGTCCATTAGGCGTGAAAAATGTTGGTGGAATATTTGTCGTTTTACTAGGTTTGTATAACATTGACAAACTTTTATTTAATTATGGTCAATATTATTTTTAACAAAGTTGATTTTTGAGTGATTAAAAATGAACAAATTTTCAACATTTTTCAAACACTTCTACTTACATCAAAAACTGAGAAAATTTTTTCTATAAATTTAGTCTAATAAATATGATAAACATTGTTTATTTTAAGGTGGTATCATCTTAGCTTTAATTGTTGCCGTTGGGGAATTTGTTTATCATGCTAGAAAAAACCATCCCGACCATAGAGTATGTATTAAAGAAAATTATATTTATACTATTTTCTTCGAACAATATTCTCAATTTTTTAGCATTCTGTTTGGTATGAATTGTTAAAAGAACTCCGTTTTGCAATTCAATGTAATGCATCAAATCGTAAATCATTGATGACTAGACGATGTTCACAATGTAATGCTGATGAACAGTATGAAATTGAAGATAATTCACATTCGAATAGTCTACGATCCAATGATATTTCGGCAACATCGTCATTTAAACGACAAAAAAAATCACTGAGTCGTTCATCATTTGAATTAGAAGAACGTTCAAAATTTGATACAATTCTATTATCCGATAATGATAATAATGAACAATTATCGGTTAAACCATTATCATATTATCACGATTCAATTCCAAATAATATTAATAATAAGAGTCGTCATCGACGTCCATCATCCGCATCTCCGCCTCCCGATTATCAGGGTATGTATCTATTCTAAAACACTTCATATAGATATCGAGAGTATGTTGAACTTCAATAAGTCAAATCTGAACATAAGAGTTTTCATCAACTTGCTTTTATTCTAGGGCTTGTACTTGTTGAACAAGCACCAAACACGAAAAAATGGTTATTAAATGAACCAACAGTATCGCATTATTATCGTGATAATCATCCACAATCGCAGAATAAAATAAATGAATCTACACGGTCACATCATGTTCGATTCTCACCAGGTAATATTCAATTTCAACTGTTTTACTCCTATAAAAGTGACATTTTTTGCTTTTTTTTTAGATATTCAACTATCATCAACAGTATTAAATCCTATGGAAGCATTCGATGATCTCTCAACGTCTTCTCGTTCTCAGTCCCTTGTTACGCATCATGTTAGCGAATTATGATCTTTTACTTCTTTTTTTACTACTAATTTATATATAGAATCTCTATTTTTGGTTTCTATGTGTGTTTTTATACTATGTGTAAACAAAGAAGTTTTGTTATAGCTAAAATGTTCATAGAATTTTTCATTTGTGTGCACTTCTCACTCCAAACGAATTATAATCTTTTTTTTTCAGACAAAAATGACAAAATTTTTTCTGTACGAGATAATCTCTTAGGATGAGGCAGGTACCATTTCGATTTTCCTTATTTGAATGAATTGTTTTCAAACTATACTAGCATGAATCTTTTCATTCTGTTTTAAAATCTAGCCGCTTGTAAAATACCAGTAAAGTTGTGTCATAGAACTCTTGCCCCTGAGAACTGTTTAGTGACTTTTATCGTAAATAATAATGATTTGATTTCACCTAGTTTTTGTTGCCAAATGTGCAGAATCTAAGAGAACATCAAATTCTTAAGAAGCTGAAATGTTACATAGTTTCGTGACATGTACTACTGCACAAAATAAACTTACCTTGTTCGGTCGACAAATTGGCAAATCATTTTTCATGTAAAATTCATAAATAACTTCTCTTTTTCGAAACAAAAAGGTTTAGCTCGTTTGCCTAAAGTTGAAATTATCAACTAGTCGAGTTTAACCATCAACCACACATCATGCTATTTATAGTTGTCTCGATAGGCTTTAAGTTTTAATATGTAATTGCTCAGTTCAAAACTTATTAAATTTGAAAATGCGTCCTTGTTTTTTTCATTGTATAGAAAATTAAATCTTTTAATTTTTTAATAAATAATACAAGCTGACACGTTGTGAAAATCTACGCCCGACAATATTCTATCCCGTATTAGTAATTGCAAGTCGAGTATGTTAAGTTTTTTGAGGTGGTAAATAAAACAAAATACGCTGTATATGTGAAAGAATAGTTTCGAGTGCGTACGATTTAAGCCTCCCCCGCCCGCTCAAAAATGGTGATTTTCGGTTAAAAAGTCGGTTTTGAGATAAACACATGAGAAGATAGCCTGAAGTGTCTACTTTCAGAATCTGTATCGTTTTCGGTTATATAAGTGACTTTTCGCGACTTTCGAGCAACTTTTCTAGAGGGCTCGAAAACCTGGTCTTTAAATAATAGTTTTTCCTGGATACTTCCGCAATTAAATCGTTTTCTGTACGCACAGATTTGTAGAACAAACTTTTCTGATCAAAATAAGACCTCACACAACCTTGTGTGACCCTACATCAAAAAGTTAAAAGTATTTTCCTCCAAGTCCTAAAACTGAGCATTTTATAAAGCGTTTTCTCTACATGAAAATTACACCTAAAGTGTTTCCCAAGATTTTTTATAGCGGTTAGTTGTAGAGAGTCATTCTTTTTTTGTTGAGTAAGCACCACTCAATGATCTCGTATTACGAAATATAGATTCACACGATTGAGAATTAAATAAGTATATACTTAATACTTCTTTTGGCAGGTTTTTTTGTTTAACTAATAATATTAAGTAAAGTA